TACGACAAAACCATAATCTAAAAGGAAAAAATCGTTATTCAAACAACCATAGTTAAGTACTAAAGGTTCATCTTGTTTGATCTGTGTTCCCGCCACAACCTGGTAAAGAAATCAAATTGAATAATATGAGTAGTAGTAGCAGACTAGAAGTAAAAGAAGCACGAGTATTTGTTTTGATGTTCAGCCGAATGAAAAATACTTGATATTCAAGAGACAGAGAGAGAGAGAGAGAGAGCGAGGAACTTGCCTTTACTAGCATCTTTGGGTTCCCGGTATTTCTTTCCTGTACAATTTTGGCATTCGGACTGAAACTGTGATTGCACATATCAATGAGTGGAAGCATCATGGGTACATTGATGTGGGTTCCACCTGGGAGTTCCTTTCCATACAAGCGGAATGCCCGGGATGAGACTGCTGACATTGCCCATCCTAAGGAGGATGAATGTACGTCTTGGCCTCCAAAAGGATGATCATCTGCTTTCAAATTTTCAAGTGCTTGTATATATATATATATATATATCTTTTATGAATGATTTATCAAGTATTTAAATCTAAGAAAAAATAATAAACATTCAATATTTAACATTCATCAAAAGCACTAAAGAAAATGGGAGAAAAGACAAGTTGACATGTCTTTAGTGTGTCCCCGAAGTGTCCTCGGCGTGTCCCCTGAAAATAAAATTAATTAAATAAAGAGACACGCCGTGTCCATGCCGTGTCCGCATATCCCTGCTTTGTCCATGTGTTCTACACGGCTATGACACTTTTTTGAAGTGTTGGTGCTTCATAAATCATAATCTTACAATTCACAATTCAAATATAGACTAATGTGAATCTATTGGTGTATCTATTTTGATATAGATGAATTGCATGTTTCATGATTCGATTTACATTTTACCATTCATATAACTTTTAAAACTATCAGGTCTAATAGCTTCCAACCCTTTTTATCTCTTTTTTCTTTTTTCTTTTCTTGAAAATGTTAGAATATAACTTTTAAGAGTGTTTACTACAAATATAATCAATACCTAAGCATGCTTTGTTGTTACTTTCATTATTTGAGTGTTCAATAGGTTCCAATCAAATCCATTCAAACCCAATAGTTTTTTTCTCTCTTTTTTTTTTTTTTCTGTGTTTTGTTTTGTTTTGTTATGTTTTGATTTTGATTTTTTTTTTTGTTTTGAAAAAAAATATCAAAATACATCTTTGAATGATGTTTAAGGCTAAAGTAACTTGCACCCATGAGTTATCTAATGTTAATGTGGCGAAACAAACATGGTTTAATACAACATACATCAGATCAGTCAAACTCATCAATGCCACAAGTTCTTTTTCTTTTCTTTTAACAATAAGCATAAAATAAATAAATAAATAAAAAGTGGAAGTATAATACATTTTAAAAAAAAGGGATCCCATTTACATTTTCTTCTTATTCTACTCTATTTAGGGTTTGTAGGTCTATGTTTTGAATGCCAAAAAGAAATATATTGTAGTTTGTAAATAATTTATGGTTGTTGAGATTTGGACCCACATCTTTCTTCTTTTTTCCATTTTTTTCTTATAATTGGGTATCTGGGTAAACCGCAAATAATCCCACGACCCACACAAAGCAACCCCTTTATATGAATCAGGCAAATCTTTTGGTATGAAGACAATGTATTCTCAATTAGGCAGTGTAGTTGTGTCATGATATAAGAACTTTTGTATAACATGTGCCAAAATCAATTTTTCTTATTTCATATATATGATTGTTCAATATCATCTTTTCTATAGTTTGTACAGAGTCTTACGATTCTTGATTTATTTTGATTCATGATTCTCAAAATTAGGATTTTAGTTCACGATACGATTCTCAATGACAACTATGGTTGGTAAAGATAAAACACAAACCATGAAGGATACACAACACAAGAATAAAGGTTTCTCCTTCTTGTTTACAAAGAAAACTTTTTTACTTTTTCAAGGAAAATGTTTGAGACCCCTAAAAAGCCTCCCCTAATTTGGAAAGGTTATTTGGTGGTCTTGAAGCAATGCTTCACACCCAAGGTTCTGAAAAGCGGTTGCGGTCACTGTAACGGTGGCGGTGGTATGGTTGCGGGGTGTAAAGGCCGTAGCGTAACGGTTGCGGTAACTGGAACCGTAATTTTTTTTTTCCCGCACAATTTGAAAAAAAAGCTTACCGATACGCATATTTTTTTTCCATGATCATATTTATTGGGTTTAAAATAAATATTGATCAATTTTTATAAATTTCTAAGTATGATCCAATATATTTCATATTTTTAAATCACTATAAATTGAGTTTTTTACATTTTATTTTAATAATTAATGATTTTATATTTTACAAAAAATCAATCACTAAATTATATATAAGATAAACAATGACAAAAGTAAGAGAATAAATAAGAATCTAAACATATATATATATATATATACATATTTTAACCAAACTAAATAGAAAATGACCACACTTATTATTATTATTATTATTATTATTATTATTATTATTATTATTATAGATAGATACACACAAACAAAATGATTGAGTGATAGCAGCTGAATAAAATAGCATAGGTCTTGCAGCTTCAACAAATTAATAACATGTTCTTCATTTCCCCTCTTCTCTCTCTCTCTATTTCTTACTTCTCCATCTTCTCTCTTTATCTTCCCTCTTCTCTCTATCTCTCTTCCTCCATTTTCAACTTTTTTTTGTGTGTTTTTTTGAAAGAAGCAGTTCGGAACCGTTATGTGACGGTGCGTAACAGGCTGTTACGGCTATTACGGCACCGTTACGACCGCTACGACAGCTGCTATGGCCAACACACCTGTGAATCTCAATCACACTGCAAAAGCGGCCGTAACAGGTGACGGTAACCACCACAACCGTTACGTAACAATGTTACGTAACAGTTGCGGCCACTTTTTAAAACCTTGTTCACACCATTCACCTAATGAAACTTGTCATGTTGTCTCCCAAAAACCAACACAAATGCTTTGGGTCCCACTGTTTTAAAAAATAAAAATCAAGTTAGTGCACCGCATGGTCACAAACTCAACCCTATAAGGCCCAAATCCCTTGCCACGTCATTGTGGATGAATTTGGGGATTTAAATTGTGAGTTTTAGCATTTCTTCTTTTTTCAAGCAGTTAAAATAATTTAGTTAAGCAAGAAATCTCAGCCCTAATCTGGAAATGCAGATACCTGATAAAGAAGAGGAGCATACTGTAAGTTCTTTATATCCTCTCCAGGAAAGAAAATGGGTACGCTGTAGGTTTCTGGAAGGTTACTGATGTACGGCCACCAGAAGGAACCTGACTTTGCTCTTTCTTGCAGCAGCTTCAAACCAAGTCTCATGGCCCACAGCTCCTCTGCCAAATGCTCCAAGTGTCCAGTTTACCCCTTATATTCAAAACACAATCTAGCCTAATTTATGGAAACTAGAGTTACTGACCTATACAAAGAAAAGGAAAACCTACACAAACATACATGAGTTTGGCTTTCACACTAATCATGAAAATGCCTCAGTATTCTGTTTTTGCGAAGCAGACTCATACACACAAAAAAAGAAGAAGCTTTTTAATGCTCAAGTGTGACGCTGTGTATCATTCATGTTCATGCAGCAGGTATTGTGGGTGTTCCTTATTCTGATGAAAGTGTTTGAAACATAATTGCAGTGAAACAACATCCACACACACATACACACACACACACACACTCAGAAATATATTAAACAAAAAATTGCATTCTCATTCCCATCTCATGATGACATATATATACATCAAAATTCAATATCTTTTACACTATTTCAGATGAACAGAAATTTGACTTTCTAGTGTCAGCAATCTACAACCTATTTTCCTGTTGACATTTTTCTCATAGACTCCATTTAGCTGTATGACCATTCCATGACAGCTTAGCAAATAGTATTCGTATCTCTTCTTCACTTCAGGTAATTACAGGAAAAACTATCGCGGCACACCATAAATTCATTTTTTCCCTTTTGTTCATGTTTAGTAAATAGCTACTAATAAATTTTCTTAGCCTTTTTTCTTCAAACATCTAATTATCTAGAAGAATGCTTTCCCATGATGCTTGGGGGATAACAATAATGTCTCTTCTCATAACTTCATGAAAAAAAATATAAGTTTGCACCTTCAAGCAATTTTTCTGGGAAATTTTTTTGACAAGAAATGTTCTAGGTAACAAACCTTGGAAAAATAATACTATCATTTTAGTTGACAACACAAAAGGAGCTGGGAATGCTGCTGAACAAAAGTTAGAGCATCTCCAACCATATGCTATTGCCATTGCTATAATTTGACAATGAATAGTGTTATTTTGTCAAATTATAGCAATGGTGCTCCAATGGTTATTTGTTATTTTAACAAATCTCAACCAATTTTCCTTCCAAATTTGTAGGTATTATTTGGATATAAATTTTTTTGTGATTTTATTTTTATTTATTTTTTGTCTTTTGTGACATTTTTTTACCTGTTTGTTAAAAAAAATATATATTTATATTATTCCCAACTAGACAAATATAAAAAATTAAAAAAAAATAATAATTTGGAAAAAAAAAATAATAATTTAAATTTTGAAAGAGCTGTTGTAAAAAATAATTTTTAATTTTTTTTTTCTGTGTTAAACAAACCAAACAGAGCCCAACGGCTCTTTATTACACTAGAATGATCCACTCTAGAATGATCCAAACAGAGCCATACACGGCTCTTCTCACTCTGTCTCCCATTAAACAAACCAAACAAAGCCAGACATCTAGAATGATCCACCCTCTCTCAGTCTCTCACTCTCCCTCCCTTCCAGTCTCTCACTCTCTCTCCCTCTTCTCAAACCACTCCCTCTTCTCCTCCATGATCGGAACCTCTTCTCCTCCATGATCGGAACCTCTTCTCCTCCATGATCGGAACCTCTTCTCCTCCATGATCGGAACCTCTTCTCCTCCATGATCGGAACCTCTTCTCCTCCATGATCGGAACCTCTTCTCCTCCATGATCGGAACCTCTTCTCCTCCATGATCGGAACCTCTTCTCCTCCATGATCGGAACCCCCTCTCTCTGGTTTCACTCTGTCTCCCTCTCAATGTTCACCTCCGATCTTCAAACTCTGTGTCTCTGGTACGATCTCTATCTATATACATACTCATATATATATATATATATATGTTTTGATTTCTGGTTGTTGATGTGGATCTGAGGTGATCGCGATTTTTGAAACTCAAAATTGTGGATCCATTCAAACCGGATCTTCACTACATATTTAAATGTGGTATTTTTTTTTTCAAATTTTCTTAATTATTTTTTTTGATCAATTTTTGTTCATCCAAATTCGTGTTGTTTAATTCAATTTTTGTTCAATTTAATTCAATCTGGTATGTTGTTTAATTCAATTTAAAATCGGATCTCCAATTTTTGTTCACCTCCAATCAATTTTTTTTCTTAATCTGGTATGGGTTCCCTACTGGATTAATTCTGTTGTTTTTAACTGAATTTGGTGCCAAATTCGTGTTGATTTTTGCTGATCTGGCAAGCTTGGCATCTGCTATTTCGGTTGCCAAATTTGAGAACACATATGGCATCTGCCATCTTTGGCAAGTGAAATAGCAGACCGTTGGAGACAACTCTTTGCCATTCCTGTCATTTTTTAGCTTTGGCAACTGATATAGCAGCTCCCATTGGAGATGCTCTTACTATAAGTTGTTCAAAATATCAACAAAATGAAAAGGAAAAAGAAAAAAGAAAAAAGAAAAAGAAATGCATCAAATTAAACACACCATGTGAAGGAATGATGCTGAACAAAAGTTACTATAAATTGTCACATTATTCTCTCTACTTTTCTGCACATCTTTTCATAAAAAGCCAACTAAAATATTCAATTCCCAAACGAGGCCTAAATTATTGAACAGAAGTAAAAACCACACTCAATGACAAATGCACCCATAACCAAATTACTTCATAGCATTAAGTCTTTTCCACAAATCTATTAAAGTTAAGGGTGGTTTGGGATGATCTAAATAAGTGCACTTTTTGACTTTTTATGAAATATGGGTTGGGTATGAGTTGGGTTTGAAGTGATAGAAGTGATGTAACTTAAATAAGATGATGTGACTTAAATAAGATAGTGACTTTTCACTTTTTTAGATTATGACAAACAAGCCCTTAGTTTATATGACAACGATGTCTAATATCGACTGCCAAATTTTCTCAAAAACACTATGTATTCCACAAATAAACTAACTAATTCTTATTATAGTAACAACACAATATAACTGCTAATCAAATTATGGTAAAATATGTGTCACAGAACCAAACTAACTTGACAACCTCTTGCGTGAAGAGTATGCAGCATACGCATTGAACACGTGACCGAAGAAGCATAATGGGGCTGAAAGAAGAAAACCCTATACAGAAAACCCTATACAGAGACCATGAAGATACCCATAAAACCAGCCATTCGAAAGTTTGGACCGAGTGACTCGAAAAGAAAAGAAATGCATTTCTCTTACTTCATATCATCTGCCCACAATTAGTAAAGATGAGAGAAATGAGAAGCAATTGAAAGAAGCCAATTTCTCTTAAAACCCTCATTTTGAATCTCTTTACAAATGGAAAGAAAAAAGAAACCAACATGCTACAATTTTCATAATACTAAATATATAACAAACCTAACATTTATAAAAGATTACTTTAGAAATATAGGCTGTGTTTGGGAAGGATTTTTTTGGGTTTTTTTTACTATCTTTTTTTTCACTAAAAGACAAATTGATTACAAAAAAAAAAAAAAAAAAAAAAAAACCAAAATACCCATAAAACCAGCCATTCGAAAGTTTGGATTGAGTGACTCGAAAAGAAAGAAATGCATTTCTCTTACTTCATATCATCTGTTCACAATTAGTAAACATGACAGAAATGATAAGCAATTGGAAGAATCCAATTTCTCTTAAAACCCTCATTTTGAATAAATGGAGAGAAAAAAGAAACCAACATACTACAATTTTCGTAATACTAAAAATATAACAAACCTAACATCTATAAAAGATTACTTAAGAAATATAACATAGAATAATTTCTCTCTTATTTTCTCACTTTTAACCAAGCCAGAGAGAAGAAAAATCATTCAATTTTCTCTTATTTTCTCTCCTAACTAATAATTTTTTCTTTTCTTTTCTCACCTAAATTCCCAAAACAGAGTGTAAAACCAACCCAATTGCTCCATACTCACAAATGCACAACCCCCATTAACCAAAATCATTCAAAACAACTAAACCATAAAACTTGAACTATTTGAATGCAGGATAGTGAAAACTCATACCAGGAACTTGACGGGCCAAATTAACCAATACAGAATGAGCAGCATCTCCACCGTCCAATTCAAGGGACCCAAACTGCAAGGGTATGTGGTCAGGGAGGGCAATTAGGTCAGACCCTTTTGGGATTTCTTCAGAGGCCACTAACCCAAGACCGTAGAGATCAACCTGTGATATCTTCACAGCCTGGTGCACAAAACCCCCTTCTCTTCTGACCCAATTGATGAGGTCAGGTGGGTGTGGCACCAGCCGAGGAGCAGGAAGAGAAGATGAGGACGTGGGAATGGCGGCGCAGGTTAGAGGGCGGAAGTGGGTGAGAGAGGAAGTGGTGGTGGTGGTGGTGGTGGTGGTGATGGAGGATAGAAAGTAGAAGTAGTCTCGGGTCGCCATTGACGCCATCTTGGTCGAACTTGAGCTTATCATCATCATCTTCATCGCCTTCCTCGTATTTCACAGACAGGTAAGACTACTAGCCGTGAAGAGCAAAAAAAAAAATTATCACATGCGCCGCCCCATATCCTACGTGTGTGGTATTTACTTGTAGTTTTATTAGAGCATTTTCAACGATTCACTAAACATTTCATTAAATCTAAGTAAAAATATGATTAATTTCTCTAATTGATATTAGACAACGGAACTTTCATCAAATCACAGGACGTCTGGGAAATCGACCGACAAAAGCAAATTAATTTTTTTTTTTTTGTTTTTGTTTTTGTTTCCTTCATTTTTGAAAGATTAAGGAATTGCAAATTAATATCCACAGGGAGAATTCTTCAGAATATATATACTAATTATATATCTTTATATAATTTAATTGTTAGTCAAGAAGATTGGAATATTGAAGAATTGAAAAAGATTGAACAACTATGGATAAGATATTGAGTGATGATCAGAGAGAGAAAGAAACTTAATGGATCAGAAATTAAGAGAGAAAGAGAAAGATCAAGAAGTTTGAGAGGTTTGGTAGGTACAGTGGATCAGAGATGAGAATTGAGAAAGAGAACGTGATGAAAATGGATTTAGGAAAAAATGAAAATGGAGTTAAAAAAGAAACTGTAGTGGTTGACCGGGGGGTCGACCTATCAATGTAAATTTTTACAATTTTTTGCCTTAAAGTGGTCATCTGACGGGACATTTGACCGGACGTCCGGTGGATTCAACTCAACGGTTATGCACAGTAAACTGCTGAAACGTGCAAGCCATTCTTAGTTCGGTGAAACGTTTAATATTTTCTAAGTTTGATACCGTTTTGGTGCAACTATTGAAGCACAAAAAGTATCTCGTTTTCACCAAATTTAAATTTGATGATGAATTTGGTAAACGATTAGAGATGGTCTTAGTTATGCTTACTTACCTACCCTTTTTTGTTTTTGTTTTTTTCTCTTATTACATAAATAATTCCTCATAAAAAGCATTCCCCTATAACAGATTCCCTGTTTTAACTATCATATAAAAATTAAAATAAAATAAAAATAGAGTAATATTAGTGGGTAAAAAAAAAATTTATTAAAGTTTTTACCAAATAATCTTATGGATATGTTGGGTATTCTTGGAGCAAGGTTATGTGGTGCTTTATAATATTATAATTGATGAAAAATATGAGACTTATGATTTTGTATTTAATGATTAAGGAATATAAGGAGATGTGGTGAATGATTTGGTGCTTCAAGAATAACTAATAACTTCTCATGAGACTCACATTATATGAGTATTTGGTAAAAGATTTAGGATGAATAGATCCAATCTACTATGATCTCTACAAAAAGAAAAAAAGAATTTCATGTTCTTCCTTTCAAGAAACATTAGCGAAATCCTATTGTAGATTTCTCCATACATCCGGGAAATCCTGATTAAAAAAAAAAACACTCTAGCATTTTTGATAAAAATAAAACGAAAATTCTATTCATTAATAATCGTAGTTTCGTTTGTCTCAAAAACAAAAAAGAAATTACACGTCAGTAGGTGTCAAAAAAAATATTCATATAACAGTAATAAATATTAATAATTATAATTATAATTTTTTCACTAATACATAATAATTTTCAAAAACTCTCCTTGAATGGTTATTTCTCCTACAAAAATAGTGGATTATTTATTTTTAAAATTATATTGAAAAAATTACCCCCCCCCCCAAAAAAAAAAAACAGGGGGACCTTTTAACAATTTTTTTTTTTAATTTTGCCAATTTAAATTTAAAATTTTTGATTTGTTTTCAATTTAAACCATCTATCTATTTTTGTTAAGTAAAATCGGCATAAAACTAATATTTTAATCATTAAACACAATGAAAAAAGAGTATTTTAGACATTTTATATACACTTGTATTGAGTTTGATAATTACAATATCACCTTTTTGTCGATTTTACTTAACAAAAATAGACAAATAATTTATATTGAAAATAATTCAAAGATTAGAATTTAAATTGATAAAATTAAAAATTCAATATTTATTTTCTTACAAAAGTCAAACTTTGAGATTTATTTATTTATTTATTTTTTGGGATAAATTTCTTCAATTATATTTGTTGCCTATTTCTTTTCAAAATAAATATAATATAATCATCTTGCTATGATTATTCAATTGAGGTGAATTTTTATATGGATGGTCTTCATGAAATATCTTACAAAATTTGCAGTAATCATTGAAGTGGGCTTTATAATGGGCCCACGATGGCTCAACAATATCACCTAGGTGAATTACTTAGCCGAAGAAAGCTTGATTAATAAAAAAATGGATTTGGGGATCCTATTGGAGTCTTACCGGAGGACTGTAATAAATTACAAACTAAATTGATGGTGGTGTAGACTCCATATTCATATTCATATTCATATTCATATTTCATTATGAATATTGTGTAAAATATTTAATAATTCATTTAAAATCTTATTAGTAAAAATTATGTTGGGCCTAGATCGACAACAACCAAACAATAATCTTAAACTTTAAAAAAAAAAAAAAAAAAAAGAGCAGTCAACCAATTATGGTGCTGGTTCGAACGTCTCAAAAGAATGAGAACTTCTTTGGATCAATGGTAACCAAGTGAACAAGAAGAAATAACAAACTTTTTATATCAACTGATGGAAACAAAGTAGATTAAATAAACAGAAGTAATTTCAGATTGAAGTTACTAAAGTCCACTCAGAAAGTAGAAGCAAGGAACAAACTACTCCTAAGTTACAATTGAAACTACTCCTAAGTCTAAAAGCTAAGTTGTTGTGTTGTTGTTCATGTGCCTCTCTCTGTAAACTTTTTGGCTTTTATAGCTCTTCTTTCCCATGACTCCATGATCTCCTCAATCTGCAACTGCTGCTTTGTAACTGCTACAATTGCACTCTTACTTCCAAGTCTTCAAACCACATCAAGCCTTCACTTCCACTTGTTAAACTTCACTTCCTTTGAGTTGACATGTGTCCCTAGGTCCTTTTGTGTCACGACCCAAACCTGTTCCTAAAAGTTTGGACATGACCGGCCTAACTTAAGGCCTCAACTTTGCTATAATATATTTTACTCAATATTAGGGCCAGAACGGAAGCAAAATAATAGAATAAAACATTTATTGAGCTGTGACTACATGACAGGATCTTAATGCATTACCATACATAAGTACATAACATTTCATACACTATTTACATTATTGTTATGTGGAAAATGTAATAACCCAAAAGTTAGGTAATGCCAAAGCAAATTTACATATGTCTATTTCTCCTAATTCCAACAAAACATGCCAACATACAGATTTCTCCAAAATTAAACAAAAGAGTCACTTCGGGTGACCCAGCAAAACGGTTCAGTAAAAGACTCCTGGGCTGACCTACGGTTGCCCCGCGAACTGATTACCTACAAAACATCCATAAAAAAAGAAAAAAAAAGGAGTGAGCAAGGCTCAGTGAATGATAGCAATACAAACATATTAAGGGTACGAGCACAATTCAACAGTGCATAGTCATAAATCACAAGTTGAACTCATTCATGTTTCTTTTTCTGAACGGCCTCGGGCCCACATAAGACGGAACGACTTTAGGCCCAACATAATACAGAACGACCTTAGGCCTATTGTAATACGGAACAGCCTTAGGCCCATCATAATAGCAAAACGGCCTCGACCCAACTAAATACAAAACAACCTTAGGTCCATTATTTTAGCAAAACGGCCTTGGGCCTATCTTAATAGCAATCAGAACGACCTCGGGTCCATATCTCATGTGTCAAAGTTCAAACATATATCAAACATATCTCTTATAACATAAGTTAATTACCAAAAGAGTGAATAAGATATCGAATCACACATATGAACATAATACATGAATGAAACATGACATTACGCTACTATCACTCACAGTGATGCGGGTGAATGATGGTCCCCTCCTGTATGTGCCCTACACATAGCACACAACTCGTAAGCATACCACCTTTCCTTAGTTTCTTATTATTTCTCAATTATCCGATTCGTTAAGCTCCATGTAATTAAATGCAGTAAAGGAACATCGAATGGCCATAATAACACATTCAGAGGGTTGAAAAGAGCAAAAGAAAATTACAAAATTTTTTAGCTTGGGCTGCACATGCGAAAGTCCCCACGTGCGAAAGTTCCCGCTGCACGTGCTTTTATTACAGTGTAGCCCAATCTTTCTCCCTTGTTTTCCGCACGTGCGGCTGTGAGCCCCGTATGTGCGGTTGTACCTCCCGCATGTGCGACCATGAGCTCCGAACGTGCGGTCGTATACCCTGTTTTGGGCAGTCCAAAACTCCATCAAAATCAAAGTTTCCAAGGGCATTTCTAAGGGCAAATATGAGCAATACCTTCTCAATATCATATTATGTGAACATAATAAACAAGACTTCACACATAACTAGATCATAATTCATTTTAAGTAGTTTATACAATTTTATAACCATATTTCTTTTCATCTTTTCATGATTAAGCCTAGTAGATACAAACATATGTGCAAAGACTAAAGATTAACTAACACAAGAATCAACCCTCAACTAGATTAAAACAATGGATCTTGATGTCTTCCATGGATATTTACCAATCAAAGTAACTAGCTCAAAAACCCCAAGTCAAGCTTGATACACAACAATTGGAGTGAAATTTAGGGTATTTGAGTTGGATTACACATACCTTGTTCTTTATTCTTTGAATCTTCTAGCAAAACCCTTCAATTCTCCAAGCCCTAATTGCTGTTTCCTTCCTCTCTTCTTTCTCTTCCTTTTCCAGGAGATAATTTATATTTGTTTTGATGCTAAGTGTTGCCTTGAGTCTCTTCTATCATAGGCTTATATAAGGCTAGCCCAATTAAAACACTTTAATTTATTACGAATCAAATATTTACAAAACTTCATATTATAACCTAAAAATTATGTTGATCATAACCGTAAAGTCAATTTTGGGTTATTGGGCCTCTAAGACTTTCAATTTCAAGTTCAAACGCCCTAATTTTAATAGATTTTCTCCAATAACCCACATATAGAATGACATAATTAAATAATTAGTATATATAAGCACAACTCCACATGGAATTTCACATTAAACATGTAATTACTCAAATAACTAGAGATGTGTAAAGCATATACGAGAGTCGGGTTATTATATTTTGTCCTTCCTTTGACAGAGAAAAATCCCCACCTTATTCATGTTTTCCTCTGCAAGTCACCCACTAAGCCCATGACTTAGCAAAAAGCTGCTCCATCATCTACACTGTTCAATGTAGATTCTCAACCTCTCTCAAATTGCTTGCCCCCTTAAACAACCATTGAACCCTCACTTGTCTCTACCACATGTCACACTCTAGCTGGTCCACTTGTCGACAGGGCCCAGCAAAAATGGGTGCAAACAATGCCCCATTGTTTAAGTTAAATAAATACCATATGTTCTTAACTTAAAAAAACCTACTTATTTGGGCCAAACTTGGACTTGGAACAAAAAAACTTGTCTCCTTGGACCCGAAATCAGAAAGAAAAACACCTACTTGCTTTGGGCCCAAAAAATAAAAAGACCATAGCCCAAAATAGGAATAATTTAAAATATTGGGCCCATTATAAACTATAAAAAACCAACCTTTTCAACTTCAAATCACTTCAGCTTCATCTTATTTTATCTTGGATCCCTCAAACTATATTTCTTCTTTTCAACACATCCACATGAAATTTAAGCACTACAAAACCCTAAGTCATGGCACCCAAAACATCGAAACCAGTTCAAGAAGAAGATACCAATGAGGGCCTCCTTCATTTTCCCAACTCCATTACCACCCTCATGAAACTTGATGTTACGCTGCTGCCAAGAACCAACTCTGTTGCCAAAGCAACCTTAGGCCCCTCATTCTTATCCCATTCTCCAGGTGAACTATCCTCATACTATCCTCTTGCCAATGGGGAAAACTTACTCTTCAACTAACCCAAACTTAACTGGACTAACTGGAATAGTAGTAAAAACCCCCTCAGACCTTGGAGAAAACTAAACCCTTCATAGCAAAGTTGGGTCAAAAGGATTGAAGCCAATGACTCTAAAGTGTGGAAGCACCAAGGCATCAATGAGGTAATCAGACTGTCGACTATGAAGTATGACATGGACAAGTGGCTAATTGCTGCTGCCACATGCTTCTGGTCCCAGTCCTGCAACTCCCTTCTCCTAAGATTTGGAATGATTGCTCCCACCATTCTAGATGTAGCTCATTTAATTGGCCTCCCCATTTTAGACGATCAAATTCATGCCCTACTTCAACCCCTAAAAGTGACCTTTTCATTGAATACCGACATGAGCTACACTGAATTCACCAAAAAATATAAGGGCAAGCTTGGTTCACATGTCAAGGACAAGGAAAGGGTTGCCTTCTACTTAGTTTGGCTCTACCAATTTATGTTCTGTGTTCCTGGGTATAAAATTACCAAGGAATAGCTTCCTCTTGCCTTATGTATTCAAGATGGCCAAACCATGGCCTTTCTACCCTACCTTCTTGCTACCCTTTACAAGGGTTAATTTTCTTTTGTTGAAAAGAGGATCTCTACTAACTGTTGTGGACCTTTCTAGTTTTTCCAAGCCTGGCTATATGCCTACTTTCCTGAGATACAACCCCCACAACCTAACACCATGAGGCCAATCCACCACTCTTATACTGAACAACTCCTCACATTTGTTAGCCAACCAACCTTCAATTTTTTCAACTACCTCACCATGTTTTACAACCTCCTCTTCAATAGACTTCCTACCCTTTACAGGCCATTCCATAATTGCCAATTCTGATCCTCTAGACTACAATTCCTTTTCACAGACCCCTTTGACCTGACCAATGACCAAGTCCAAGCACAAATTGAGACTTGGAGACACATTTTAACCTATAGACACATCTTGGTTGGTTGCTCTATCTCTTCCACTAAGGTGTCCAGTTGTAGCTTTGAAACCTGCTACTCCAACCTAGGTCTAGACAGTTTGCCCTTTCCCAATGCATACTATTTTCTTACTTCCACCCAACCATTCATGAAGAAATTGGGTCTAAAATAAGCATCAAAGAGGACACCCAAGCTGACTCCATCTTGCTAGAAAGCACCAAACTTCTCAAAAACTTCAGTCCCTTCTTTTTCCAACCTACCTCAGATTGCACCACCACTTTTGATCACTGGTGGAAGCTCATGGCTGCCATCATCTTCTTCAAACCACTTGAGGCATGTCTTCAAGACACTTTTATTGACAATCAAGGCCCCACATCACCACCTTCGAAGCTTAAAGCCACAGGTAACATTTGCACTTCTATTTTTACACACCTTTTAACACTATCCAATTTTATAAATACTGACTTCTTTGATTTTGGCAGCCAATGTTGAACCTACTGTTGAGTCCCTAAACACAAAGGCAAGGCCCCAATGGATCCAACCATCCAACCAAGGGACACAGCTCCAGTCCTTAAGCTGATGGGAGACTACCTCTCAACCCTCCAAACACAAGCATAAATGGTGCAAAGGAGAATCACCACCTCTCCTCCTATTGACAAAGAAAGAAGGACCAAGAAGGGGCAAGAACCTCAAGCCACCCTTGTCTCTGAAGCAAATCCTAATGAATGGGATATCCCACTTAGCCAAGTTATTGGCCAAACAATCTCACACGCACAGAACAACTGCACCAAGTATACTTCCCTACCATTTTCTTGTTACATTTCACTTCTTCTTACTCGTATTCAACTGACACTTTCCTTTTCTCAGAGAAAGAGGAGAATAGTACTTATTTCCACTGTTGATGATGATGACACTCTCTCTAATTCTCCCAAGGACACTAACCAATCTTTACTCCCTCCACCTACCAATAAGCCTAGACAACAAACTCCATAACCAACTCCAAAACAGCCTACACCACAACCATCTTCAACACCTTCCTATTCTGAACCTCCCCTTATTGCCCTCAGAGATGTCACTCTTGGGGCCTTTCCAATGAAGGTTTTCTACCTAGAGGAGACTGAACCCATTAACATCCCTTTAGTTTTTACCCCTCAACCATCACCATCTGACTCTACCAACTCCCAAATATCCACCAGACAACCAGAGAGAATTGACCTTGACCACTCATCCAATAGTCAATCAACTCCCCCAACCAAGAATCTTCTCCAAGGGACCAAGTCACCAAGTCTCCTCCACCTGATCTTCCAACCATTCATGGTAAGCATTACTCAAATTGCTACTCTTTCATGTATATATTTTCTTTTTTCTTTTCTAAAAACTTTAGTCTGCTAACCTCTCCTTATGATTCCAGATACTGAACTAGCCTCTAATGAGCCAGACATTACCCTCAAGGCTGCAAACACAACAACAATCCCAATGTAAGAAGTTGACATTTTTACACATGCGTCTTCTCTTCCACCAATTCCTAAATCAACTCAGCCTACCACAGCTGCAATTGAGCAAATACAACTTCCTGAGGCCACTAACCCACCAGCACACAATCTATCCACTGATGATCAGGTAAAACTCTTAACCTTATCTTCCTCATTCTTTACTACTTGCAAAATACTGACTTACCAATTTATTGCTGTCGACAGGCCAGTATCCCAGCTTAGGACATCTGGGAGGAAATCACTATCTTTCAACAAAATCCGGACCAAATATCACCCCTTCCTAAAAACTTCACCACTTTCAAATTGACACTCAACAATTCGTAACTAGTCTCATCAACCTCATCAACACACCCTTAGAAGAAATAGCCCTCAACCAACCGAATGAGGCCTTGGTCTGTCTCACTTCTATTCTAAACATTTCCCCTAACCCTTTCAACTCTATGCAATTAAAACAACTGGCCAGAATTACCTCAAGATGGCCAATTCTTTTGGAGATGGTTCAATCCTGCTCTAAAGACATCCAACTCAGAAAAAACTTTCTTGCCAAAGCCCAAACCATATCCACCTCCCTCAAACTCACTCACCAGACTTCTTTAGCCATCTCTGAACAAGCTACAACACTAGCACTTGAGGAGTCAAAACTTGTGCCAGAACAGGCCACTGTTAGACAAAAAAGACTCCATCTGCAATAGCAAAAGGACTGACTAAGCCAAGAAGCAAGGACCATGCTTTCTCAGATTATAAATGGCCTTTCATCAATCCAAGCTGTCAAAGTAGAACTAGACCAAGCTTAAGCTATGCTAGCAGATGCTCAATCAGATTGGGGCATTTGGCCATTCTCTTTCCCGAGACTTAATCTAGTTCTTTTTGTTTTTGCTTTTTCCTTTGTAGTATACAGGATGTTTTACTATCTTTTTGTAATCAGTACATCATTTGCACAAACTTTTCTTTAATGGATATCAATACATACTTAGTTTGCATGGCCTGTTGCATTGAATATTTTCCTCATTGTGTAAATTGCTTTGTTTTGTATGCAACTTATTAACTTCCTTTGAAATTTTCCCATATAGTTGGATAATACCTCTTAAGATATTTCCCATTTATATTCCTCTTATGTGGCTGCCCCTCCAAAGACTCCAATTGATATGCACCTCCCTTAAGGACCTTATAAATCCTAAAAGGGCCTTCACAGTTGGTGACCACTTAGCAAACTCAAGGTCTTTTGTTCCCAATGGCAAGATGGTTTTCCATACCAAGTCACCTTTCCCAAAGATTTTCAACTTAACCCTCTTGTTATAAACTCTCTTAATCTTCTTCTTTTGAGCCATCATACAATCAAAGGCATCAATCTTTTTGCACTATACATCTTGTAATTCCATAAACATGGCCTCTACATACTCATCAATAGGAATGTCAAGTGCTTAGCCACCCCACTAGACTTTACTGTCATTTCTACATATATAACTGTAGCATGACCGTAAACTAACTCATAAAGGGATGCTTGAATGCTATCCATCTTTGAATTCCTGTAGGCCCAAAAAATCTTAGACAATAACTCATGCCAATCCCTTGAATTATCCTTGATGACTTTACTAAGTGTTACGTTGATTGTTTTGTTTGATGACTCTGCTTGCTTATTTGCCTGGGCATAATATGGAGATGAATTCAATATCTGAATGCCATAGTCTTTAGCAAACTCCATTACTTCATCACCATTGAATATTTTCCCCTGATCGACAATAATTGTTTGTGGCAAGCCAAATCTATGCACTATGTGCTTCTTAATAAAATCAATCACATGATATTGATTCACTACTTTTAATGGGACTGCTTCTACTCACTTAGTAAAATAATATGTGGCCACTAATATGAATGCCTATTGTTTTGATGATGGAGGAAATATCTGGCCAATCAAATCCATTGCCCAACCTCTAAATGGCCAAGGTTTGACAATTGAATGCAAGTCCCTAGCTGGCACTTTTTGCACATTGCCATGCTTTTGGCATTGCTGACACCCCTTAGCATAATCAATGCAATCTATAAAGGGCCAAAAATACCCATGTCTTTTAATCAACCACCTCACTTCTCACCTACTTGGTGAGCACCACAAATGCCCTCATGAACTTCTGTCACGACTTGCATCTGTTCTAACCCTCCAATACATAACAATATCAACCCATCTTAGGTTCTTCTGAACAAGTCATTCCCCCATAATCACATAATTCATAGCTTGATACTTTGTTCTCCTATTCACATTTGCCTCTAGATCACTCAAATACCTAATCAGAAGTGACCTCCAATCATCCTTTAACATCTCCAAAGTTAAAATTGACAAGCCTTACAACTGTCGACACCTAGCACAAGGCATTGTTCTCTTCTGAATCCTAACTATTCTCTCATAGAAATCCTTTGGAGGCTGCCTAGGCCATTTTGTTAGCCTCCTTATTTTAAAGTCTGAACATGTGTGCAAATCTACTGTCTCAAAATCTTTAACCAGTTGTAACACTTGGTTTAATGCCCTCTAAGCACTGCACTGTTGCATTTATATTGGCCTACCACATGCGTTATCACCAATTTTGAATCCCCAAACACTTTCAAGTGTGGAATTCTCAAACTCCTTGCCAACTCCAAACCAATAATCAAGGCTTCATATTCTGCTTGATTATTTGACAACACCTGTGTCTCATCTAACTACTAAGAGAACTGAAACACTTGTCCTTGGGGTGAAACCAACACCACCCCAGCACCAACACTCTCTTTAGTCTTTCAGCCATCAAACATTAATCTCCATAGCTCTTTTTTAACTATGAATACCTCATATAAATCTACCTCGACAGGGCTACATAGATGCTCCGCTAAAAAATCTGCTAATGCCTAGCCTTTCACAACCTTCTAAGGTACTTACTTGAAGCATTATTCAATTAAGGCCAGTAACCATTTTCCCAGTCTCCCTTTCAAAACTAGCCTAGACAACATGCATTTTATTACATCAATCTGAGCAATCACATTAACTTCTGTAGGTAGCATGTAATGCCTTAGTTTGATGGCTGCAAAATACAAGGCCAAACATAACTTTTCAACAAAGCTATACCTGGTCTCTACCTTATTTAATTTCCTACTTAGGTAATAAACAGGCTGCTCAGAACTCTCCTCATTATCATGAGCCAATGAACACCCAATTGTGATTGTTCTCTTGCTGAAATATACAGCTTTAAAGGTTTCCCTTTAATGGATGACATCAAGACTGGAGGTTTAGATAAGTAATCCTTGATTGCATCAAATTCCCTTTGATGCTCACTTTTCCATCTAAAGTCTTTATCAGACCTCAACTTTAACAAAGGGAAAAAAGCCAAAGTTTTCCCTACTAAATTGGCAATGAATCTCCTTAAAAAATTTATTTGCCCAAGGAAACTCTGTAACTCCTTATTAGATGGAGGTTGGGTTGCTTTAATAGCTTTTACCTTATTTGTGTCCACGTCTATCCCCTTCTGGTGGACCAAAAAACCCAAGAAATTACTTGCATACACCCCAAAAGCACACTTGAAGGGATTCATTTTTAGCTAGTATTTCCTTATCCTTTGGAACACCTGTCGAAGATGGTCCACATCATCAATATACACCTCCAAAAACTTCCCAATTAGATCATGAAAGATAAAATTCATAGCCTTCTGATAGGTAGCCCCTGCATTCTTAAGCCCAAAAGGCATTACTACCCATTCAAAAGTTCTTAGAGCCCCTGGGCACCTAAATGCAGTCTTATGAACATCATCTGGACTAAAAAGGATATGATTATACCTAGCATGGCCATCTATGAATCATAAAATTTTATGTTTTGTAGCTGAATCTACTAACAAGTCCGTAACTGGCATGGGATACTCATCCTTAGGTGTGGCCACATTCAAATTCCTGAAATCAATACACACTCTAATTTTACCATTCTTCTTAAGAACTGGAACTATATTTGACAGCCATTCCACATATCTGGTTGTTCTAATGAAACCACATTTTAGAAGTCTTTCAATTTCATCTTTCACTATAGGAGTGACTTCACTTGTCATTCTTTTATAGGGGTGCACGCGGTGCAGTTTAGGCGGTTTGAGAGTAAATTACAAATCGAATGGCGAGTTAGCGAATTGACAAATTGCGATTTGGGCAGTTTTTGGCAGATTGGCAGATTGAAGAATATTCTAATTAATTATCATACATTTGCATAATATATAACACTAATTTGTATAATATTCTTTAGATATATAACACAAAAGTAATTTTACATAATATGCTTCATATATATAACCACTAATTTGTAATAAATTTCATATCTTAAATCTCTCTCACACTCATTTTTACATTGATATCTCATTGGAAGTTAAAAAATATATATGTATTAACTATAGCAGAGTGGAGCAGAACGGTTTGGTTGGCAGATTATAAATTTTAAAGTTTAAACCACGGTTAGAGGTTAGAGCGGTGCAGATTGATGCGGATCGGTGTGGTTTTAGCGGATTGGGCGGTATTTTGCACAACCCTATTCTCCTAGGAGGTTGTTTATGTGGCATATAATTTGACTTTATTAGAAGTTTATGTTCAACCAAAGACCTATCTATTCCAGGCATCACATCATAACTCCAAGCAAAACAATCAAGGTAATCTGAAATCAAGCTAACTAGCTTGATCTTACATTCATTAGATGAAATAGCATTTACATAAATAGGCCTCTTATAGGCCTCATCTCCTATATTAAACTCCTCTAAAGGGTCCTGCATATCAACCTTAAGATCATCAAGCTTTGCAAGGGTTGCCTTTAGATTTTCATACTATACCTCTTTATAATTCGAAGGGTTATTATCTACAACACACTTTGCCCAAAAATAGTGGGGCAACATACCTCATAACCTTCTCTCTAAAAAGAAGTTAAAAAAAGTCTAACAAAAGTACTTCTAATTATATTAGAATCAAATTCACTTTCACTCTTCTTCATCTTCATTGGTAATGTCTTCAATCAGTACCTCATCTGCAGGCTTGGTCTACAAGACACTTAGCTTGGCCAATTCTTGGCTCATTTGTCGAAAGCCTTTCTCAACAAATTTCTGAAACTGACCATAAGTCAGTCCAATTCCCCATGATTTCAACTCCTTATTTTCCAGCACAACAGTGCTAAATTCTTTAGTATAGAGCATAACCTCCACATTATGGACATTAGCTTTGAAATGATTTGCCTCTGCCCAAAAGACCTCCATTCCTTGCCCTTCTTGGCCCTCTACTGTCAAGAAAATCAAAGCCTGGTGATGGCACACAACCATTGGAATGAATCCAATCCCTTCCAAGTAGCAAGTTATATTTTGAGGTGGAGTCAATCACAAAAAAAATGTTGCTTCCATAACTTTGACTTTTACTTGCAATTGCAAGGCAATTACTCCCCTTATATCAGATGACCCTCTTGAAAAATCACTCACAGACACATCAAAAGGGATTAAATCATTAATAGTTTTACCGACACTCAAAATTCTGGCGGGCAAAATGTTCACAATAGCCTCATTATCAATTAACACCTTAGTCAAAAGGACAACCACTTAAGTGAGCACTCACATACAAAGGCCTTAAGTGCCTTATCACTTCTGGTTTAGGTGGTTAAAGTACCACCTTCTTACTATTACCAGTCTTAACCACCTAAATGGATTTGCCAGCTTCCTCTGTCATCAACAAAGCAGGTTCTGATAGATCCTCTACATCACCTTCTAACTGCTCCAACTGCCTAGGTTTTTCTTCAAACCTTTTTGGCAAAGCCAGAATCATATTACAATTAGGGCTTGCAGGCAGAGAACCAAACCTGATTGTATTCAATCTCTCACCAAAGTCCATAGAACTTTCAAACTTCATATTTTCCTTTCCATCTTCCTTGCTATTGTAGGCACCCCATTTTTGACCGCCTGTAAGACTTGGGCGCTTTG